ATCAGCGCCAACAACAGCCTGAAGTCGCATTAAGCTCTCAGCGCCAGAAGCGGAAACAGCGCAGCAGTTTGCACACGGAACAGCGCCGAAAATGGGGAAAATCTACCAGGTGTGTGTTAACGGAGTAAGGGGAGAGAAGATGATGGTCGACCTGTGCAACACCGAGGAGCAGATGAAGAGCATGACAGTGGGGCAGCTGAGGGAGAAGATTGGCAAGAAGCTTCCCGACGGCGTAGGTAAAAACACCGAGAGGCTCCAATCTGCAGCCGTCTGACCCACTGTTACTGTGATCTGGGTTTAACCACCACAACAACAACAGAATGATGCAGCATTTAAAGTTGTGTTTTTGTGCTGGTCAGGAAACTACATATTGAAGCATAAACCATGGGACTTGTAGTATTTTAAGTAGTGGTGGGACGCCATTAAATAAAATAAATAAATAAAAAATCGAACTAATTGAAGGGTTTGTAATGAATTAATTAATAAGTGATTTTAAAAATAAAAGCCACAATAAGCAAGGGTTTTCAATTCAAATGCATTTTAGTTGACGGCTGAATCCATAAATAGACGTGTATGTGAATTAAACAACAAAAATGTTTATGTTTCATCCATATTTATTCGTGCTTTTTTTAAATTTTTTATCAGTCTACTACATTCACAGCTTAGTCCAAACTTAAAGTGCAACTATAGCTGTTGTATTTACCATCTTAAAACTCTTTGTTGCACAGTTTGCACACAGCCGTGCTCTGGGTTCGTGTCCACAGGATCCGTCTATCTCTCGCTTCCCATTCATTGTCTATGTGAAACGTAAAGTAGACTTGACATCAACTTTATGCAAATTTGACAGATTTTGGTAAAATCGTCTCTGTGGACGATCTTACACACAAGTGTCAGCAAAATCAAAAGTGAAAGTAATTGAAGCAGACGGACTATTTTATTCTGATATTCTTATTAGAGCAGCATTTTAATGTAGAACGTTTTTTGAGGTGAAGCAGCGCTCCAGCAGTTTATTATATTTTGTAAAGTGATGTGTTTTTGTGTGTGTGTGCTGTCTTCATAACACTGTAGTCAAGTCAGTATGAAGCACAGACCACAAATACTTCAAACTGTACTACATTACTCAAGTCTTTAGTTACTCCTCAGCTCTGTGGATTTACACGTTAAAAGATGTCAGTTGAAAATGAAAGTTTTAGAGCTGCAACAGCGAGTCTATGAACTAATTAGTTGTCAGCTATTAAATGAATCGCCTACTAATTTAATATATGTGATTATGTGGTTTGGAAATCCTGTGATGCAAGTCAACTCAATATCTTTGGGTTGTGGACAAAACAAGATATTTGAGCATATCATATTTGACTTTGATAAACACTGGTCGTTATTTTTATATAATTTTCAGACATTTTATACACCAGACTGCTAATTTCTTAAGAAAATGATAAGAGCTTAATCATGGAATAATCGTTAGTCCCTGTTCTCAGGCATCAATGCAAAATCAAGATGTTGTATTTGAGCTTTTCATTTGAACTAAACTTAAATTTGAAGTCGTGGGGGTTGTGCCACTTATTGTTCTTCTAATTTGAGTGTGTGTACGTCTGTGTATTTGTGTGTGTAGGACTGGAACAACTGCGGATGATTTTCACAGACAAAGCGCTGGAAGAAGACGAGACACTGCTGACAGCGTATGGCATCCAGCATATGTCCGTCATCCACCTGGTGATCAAAGTTCCTGGAGGTCTGACAGCTTGACAGAGACCAGCGGTGCCCGTTGCTACTGCCACCACCACCACCGCCGCTGCTGCTGATTCCTGTGATGGCGGCCAGCACTTTTTACAACTTTTGAAGTCTTACTCTACAACTTCTTTTATTATTGTTCAGTATTCTAGTGTTTGTCTTGTTCTGTTGAAATAAAAATGTGTTCTCTCGAATGCCTCGACCTTAATCAATAGATAAGCAGATATTGGAAGGTCTTAACATGAGCCACATTAACAGGGCATTAAATATAGAATATAGAATAAATAGAAAATAAAATCTAGTGCTAGTGCACTGCATATCCAGCAGCAGGCTCTTTGAGTCAACAGAAATCATCCTTTGCATAAAATCAATTCCTAAACCTGCCTAATCAGTTAAATTTTAAATTCACATGAAGGTGAATAATTCTGGCAGCAGCAGGCAACACATTTTACATATCAGGGCATCTGAACAAATATCGTTTATTGTAAGTGATCTGCCTGCTTTGTCTTGAGGAAGTAAACGTTTAATGCAATCAAACTCCATATAATTACATAAAGATGGCTAAAATACTTCTGTTTCCAACAAGGAAGGAAGGCTGGTGCTCAGTGCTTATCTTGAGTTCAAGCCAACACATTCTCACTCTGTACTCGTCATATATGGAGGCTTGGTCAGACTCCCTCTGCGTCACATATTCACGCGTCGGGTACCGCCCTTTCGTCATTAATCGACTTCCAGGGTGCTCTCATTAAATGTTATAGATCTCTCTAAACGTTGTTAATTGACGACATGAGAACGTGGAGGAAGAGCCTGTGTTTTGGAATAGCATACAAAACATGCTACGATCCTTTTACAGCTGATGTATTTGTGCATGTTTAACCTTTTCGTTCACTGGACTTCAGCTTTAACGTATATTGTCCTGTTTCTCTGAATACCCAGTGATTTTCCCATTGAGTTTGGATCGCCAAGCTCTTTCTTTATATGCATTCATACAAAAAAGACCATTCATAAAAGCATACAAACACACATTGTTCATGTATTAACATAAACGCATCCAGTCTACTGGATGCTTCGGGGCTTTTTTGTTTTTGTTTTTTATATATACCAAAAAAATGATAGTTGGTGGGTATAGGCTGAGTTATTTATTACATGACAACTAAGGTCAACAGCTTAATTACTTACTAACTAAATCATCTGGGGTGAGAAAAAGTAAATAAGTGGGTCTGACTAAGATATTCTAGTCACAGAATTTGATTTAAAAAAAAAAAAAAAACCAGCTTCCNTGTATGGAAAAGAGTCTTCCCAGCGAACTCCAAGCAAACAGGGAACTAGAATAATAACAACTACTAGTCCTTGGCGTTTACATTCACGAGGAAGTAAATCACAGCTTCACAGTGGCATAGCTGTGGCTGCTGTTTAGTGCCGAGTTGTTTGTGTGTTTTGAGGGTTAACAGCTGCCTTCTGTGGCCAAAAATGATGAAGAGCAATAAAAGAGAACCCAAACAGACCTGAACAGCTAAACAAAGAGCTGAAACTGATGAGAAAGTCGAAATAAAAGCAAAGAGAGCTGCACAGTTGGCTGGCAGTTCTCTATTGGACCAACAAGAGACCCTTTTCACAATTAACTCAATGCATTTTTATTGTAAAATATCAAGTAGTGTATTTACACTGCATCTACATCAACTTAACACTGGAAACAGCAGAAACTATTTTAAACTTGCATCAAGCGTGAAAAAACAAAACAGTAAAACACTTACACAGAAAAAAAGACTTATAGGAGTCTAGGTAATTAGCAAGAAAACTAACAGGGAACCTCTAAATAACAACGATGGCGGAGGTGAGAGGGTGGAAAGTACCTGATCCAGCAGGCTGCGACACCACGCAGTGAGAGACTCCGGTCTGACGGCGTGTCCGCAGGACATCTCTGCACAGAGGCCCTGGTCTCCATCCTCTGAGGCTGAGGCGCACAAAGAAATACTGAACTGAGCATCACAGTCTGATATACTACACATCCGACATTTAGTCTCTTCTTTAATGTCCTCATGCACAGCTTTCGTGACACAAAACACCATGTAACTCTGCTTTACTTGGCTTAGTTAGGATACCCAGTGCGCTCACCGTGATGACTCCGGTTTGTGCGTAAAAATGAAAAGAACAAACATGAGTTTAGAATTTCTTGCACAGTGAGACGATAAACCTGAAACTGTTTCTTAGTGCTTACGTAGTGGATCCAGATCATCCGGTCTGTTAACAAATCTCAGTGTCGTGTCTCTGGGGTCGTATTCTTTCTCGTTCTCACTCCGCGTAGTCATGTTGGATCAGATGAGCTCTGCGTCCACAGATTTCTTCCCTGTGCGGCTTCAGGAATGAATCTGCTGCTCTGTTGCCTTCACTCCAGCAGCAAGACTTTTTTTTTTTTTTTTTTTTTTTAACTTTCAGTTTCTCCCCTACAATTACAAGAAGTCACGTGAGTGCAGGGAGCGTCTAGTTTTCGTTTTTTTTTTAATTTTAACCTTCCGTCATCATTACCAAACAATATTCCACATTTAAAAGATTGTGACGAACTGAACACACCTTATTTTTATTACAGAACTAATAAATTCCTTTCAAAGCCACTTCCCTGTGACTTTCAGTACCACAACCAGCTGGTGGAACACAAGATAAAAACATTTCCTGGTTTCGAGCACTGCTGGGATATCAGGTGATTTCCAGCTGTCATCAGCACAATGTGGCACCAACCACAATAAGTTAAGAGATAACAATCAAAACATACTCTGTAAAAAATAATGTTTTAAAAACTGATTTAACAATGTACTGTTGATTTACAGATTCCCCCTGTTTTACAAACAATAACTAGAAAACTCACATTAAAAATCATTTAATTACATGGTAACTGTGAAAAAAAAATCAGATAATCATAAATGTCAACATCATATCTGACTAAAATTACACAATTTTTAAAGTATTTAAATCAGAAAAAAATATAATGAGTTTACAGGTACTTGCTGTATTTTAAGGACTGATAATGGTCATTTTTAAGTGTTATTATACAGATTTTCCCTGTTTTGTTGAATTACTACGGAGCCCCAGAAGGGACACGGGGAGCTATAGCGCCTCTTTGGGTCGCCTGCTCAGACGTGAGCTTTAGGGGCGCCGAGATTTTTCGAGATCACCAGAAAGTTTTACGAGATCTTACAAAAGATACCTCTATTTTTTTCCTCTCCTTGTTTTTTTTCTTTCTTTCTCCATGTCCCTTTCATCAAAAACAACCCTAACATCACCTTTATTTTTATTTTTCTATTTTTTTAACGCAGATTGCACAAAAGACATCAAAAGACGAACAGTGCAAATAATGATGCAGTTACTATCGATACCACAACTAATACTAATGATGATAGAAATAATAGAAACAGTTTTGGTGAAAGTGAAAGCATCCTCGGTCCTCTGACGTCCCGCCCCGCTCATCAGCGCCAACAACAGCCTGAAGTC